GCCAGTAGGGGTCTAAAGATACCCAATTACTTCTGGAAGTGTCATAGAAATGTTATGTACAGTTTCAGTACTCATTTGCAGGCTGTTCTGAATTCATACTTATAGCAATGAAAAAAAGGCAGATATAAAAAAAGATGCTACTGTGCAAAGTCATCTGGGGGACTTGTGTTAACACAACGTTTTAGGAAATATAATTGCTTGAATATGTCATGATTTAAACATTTCTTAGAGAACATTAAAGGTGACCTATAAAAGAAACACACAATAGGGCTCTCATCATAGTTTCTTTCTATAAGAAGTAAATGTGAGGGGTTTATTTGTTTTTTTTTCATTTTGCTTTAGAAATTCATATCTTATCAAACATCTACACTTTTCTTGCACAACCCAGGGATTATGACATCACCATCACTAATTCAGTGAACCCTAATTAACAGTTATTGGAAACAATATTTGATGGTTTCAAATGCTATTCTTTATTGTTTTTAATTTTAGTTAATGAAAGAGTAATTTTTTCGTGTTAGAAATATAGCTGCAGTCCTGTCTAGATGAAGGTTTTCTTCACCAAGCTATACCATTCTAAACTTTCAGTGTGCATATTTTGTATTTGTGGAGGTCATAGCTTGCACATCGCTCCAAATGGGCACAAAAATTGACTAAGATAAACAACTGGTGGCAGACCACATTAAATATTTTCCTCATGTTCCTGGAGTGATTGATGCCAGTGCTCATTTCACTAAACTAACTAGAAAAGTCCAAAGGTAATTAAAATACCTAATATATATATCCTTTAGCAAAGAGAGGTGGGTTTGACATTACTAATCTAAACAAACAAACAAGACTTTGTATTTATATCTAATGGCATATCTTAAAGAATAACCCCCCACCCATCCCCCAAAATGACATACCAAACATATTTTCCCTTGTTCAAATCCTTTGTAAGGAACATTAATTAGTTACATTTATAGGTTTCATCTTCTACTAAAGGTTTAGAGAATCTATTCTAATAATTATAATAAACTTCTGAATTAAAAGAAAACCAAACATTTAGAAATGAAAATTACACTGAGTAGTGGCACAGCATTTCCAAGGGTCTTTTGTTCTTTTAAAATGTTTTTATTTAATTTATAAAACACTTTTACCACTTTCACCTTAAGGTAATGTGTTTTTTATATTTCCTATAGCAATATTTAAACTAGAATAATTATTGCTTCCTTGATCCTAGGCGTTCTAATTACTTTACGGAATTTTTAAAAAATCATGTTTACTGCTTATTTTTAAGAATATATTTCATTTCTGTGTCATTGGTTTGTATATGACCCTTCTAGATGTTCTGCAGGTAATGCATTTGTTTGATTATTTCATTTCATCTGGTCAGTTAGCTCTACATCATTTGATACCCTAAATGCAGTTGATGCTGTGCATTTATGTCCTTTATCATGTGCTGGATATTCTTCACTGGTTTTTATATCTCTTTATTTCATTTTGTTTCACTGGGTGTCATCTCTTGCAACTGAATATTTTCCCCTTAGGTGTTTCAATTATTTATGAGCATGGACTATTTCTTGTTTAACAGTATATGGGTTCCATTCATTATCTAACTGACTTGTACATAAACAGAATAATCTATGCTTAATTTAAAACATATTTAAGTTTATTGTTTGACTGTTTTCTTTTTATCAGCCACTAAATTTATTGGAGTTTTATGTCTTTTATGTAAACAGTTGTACATATCAAGGCAGTCTGGACTGATAAGCTCCTCAGTTGTTGCATTGAAAAACAGAACTATTAAGAAAGCCTATATATTAAAATTAAAATTTCTAGTAGCTTTTGAAGTCTAAATTATTTTCGAGGCAAACCATCCTCTTCTAGATTTACAGATGTTATCATAGATTTGAATTCTCACACCAATGTTGTGAAATTATTTTTTTTAAAGCCAGATCTGAACCTCTGACTTCCATTAATACACTCCTGCTCACACAAATACATTAGCTGATTTCAGTGTTACTATCCAGTGCTCATAAATTTAAGAAAGAAATTCAAAACCGAGCTTTAATATCACTCAGGATGAAGGATACATTCCAATTACAGCCTTTGTCTCAAAATACTTAAGTTAAATAGCACAACGATCCTATGTCTCTTGCAGGCTACATTGTTCTACTTTATGCCTAAATGGTTCAAGTCATATACCCTTATCAGTCTGCATGACGATTACTCGTTGGGAGCATCTACACATGTTCTGAACTGCGCAGTTGTTACTGCACTGTCCCGGAAGTACACTGGTTATTTATGATGCTACAGTGCAGTAGCAACGAGCAGCACTGTAGCTCATTGATACTGCGCAGTAGCACTGGCATCATGCTTTGTGCCTGCCAATGCTATGTTGCCATAGTGATTAGCTAGATCACTGTAGTTTTTCACTACAGCAATGCAGCATCTTGTGTAGATGTGCCCATAATCTCCAAGCTTGTAGGATGCCAACATAATACTTCACTTATAACCTTCTCCATAGCCACTTCATAACAGTTATTTTTACTGGTGACTCTTACTCCTTTTATTCCATTCTCCCAGAGATCAAACCTTATCTTTTTTATCTACTTGATATTTATTATATTACTATTTATAATTGCTAAAATAGTCATACTTGTGTAGTAATAATAGGTCTTGAGTCATCTTTCAGTCACAGCTACCTAAAGATAGCATCATCATAATATCATGCACACTTGATATTCCATCAAGAAAAGTCATGGTGGAAGATTCTTATTCCAGATGAACTGCCAAAGCAATCCTTAAAATCCTCACAAAATAGGGCACATTCTTTAACCTAACTACACAAAGATATCCCAACTGCACAGGCAGTAATTAAATGAAAAATAACTACACACAAACTAACTACTTTTTAACAATTCCCATAACAGGAAATTTCTTCTGATTTTTTTGCCTCCTATACATTATTCCAACAAACATACTTTGTCCTGAAAGGTCTTTTATTATTTTTATCATTCTAAATTCTTTTCAAAATGCTCCAAGTCCAAAATTTTATTTTCTATATTTCCCAATTATATGCCCTGGTTCTTATGGTGGACTTCAGTCACCTTGACATCTGCTGGGAGTGCAATACAGCAGCGTATAGGCAAGTCTTTGGTGAGTGTTGGGAACAACTTCCCAATGCAAGTGTTTGAGGGGCCAACTGGGGCCCATGCTCTTTTTCACCTCAGGGTCCTGAGCAAAGGAAGGAAGAAGAGCAGCAGAGCAAAAACCCTGGGCTTCAGAAAAGCAGACTTTGACTCACTCAGGGAACCAATGGTCAGGATCCCATGGGAGGCCAGTCTGAGAGGTAAAGGAGTCCAAAAGAGCTGGTTATACTTTATAGAATCTCCTTAGAGCACAGGAATGAACCATCCATCCCAATGCACAGGGAGACTAGCAAGTATGCCAAAAGACTAGTTCAGTTTAGTAGTGAATTCATCAGAAGAAAGAAGTGACAATTTTCACCCAACCTGGCCACAGAAAGCAGTCCATAGCCATAGGCAGAGGAAGAAAATATGATTTGGGGGGGGTTCATCCACCCCCGCCCGCCTCCAGCAGGTAGGTCTGTTGTGGGGGTGGGGCAGGGGAACAAATTGAGGCCCCCACAGTAAGGGAGGTAGTGGGGCAGGACAGGGGCTGGGGTGAATGGGGCCCTGGGGCCAGGGTGGGTTGTGGGACACTTGGAGCGTGGGAAGCTTATCCAGGAGCACAAAGGGGCTTCTACCAACATGTGCACCCCTGGGGCAGGCACAGGGGATAAGTGCCCTCTAGATCTTGCCCAGAGGTGGCTGCCACTGTGGGCTGTGCTCCTCACCCCGCTGCTGGTGACTCAGTAGCCACACAACACCAAGTGCCTCCCACCACTGGGCAAGCGGTACAGCCAGCGTGTAGGAGGGACATGGTGTCATGCTGCTTTCAGGGCACCAGTAGTGCACACAGAGTGAAGCCTGCAGTGGCAGCTACCTCCATTCTGCACACACACGTCCCCTGTGCTTGCCATGGGGGTGTGCACAGCAGCAGGATTTCCCCACACACACACACCCCTGGATGAGCTGCCTGGGCTCCAAGCATCCCACAACCTGCCCCAGGGCCATATTCATCACCCCCTATAGAGGCCTCGATCTATGCTCCCATGCCCCTTCCCTCCCCCATGCTCATTCCCATCCACACATTTACCTACTGGGTGCTGGTCCACACAGGGCCTGGCCAGGCTAAGTTCCCAGTTGCCTGTAGGCTCCAGCTGTTCTCTGTCTCTGTGCATGCCTCTCACCCCATACCCTGCTGCAGCCACCTGGACCCTGTGCCCAGGCTGCTTGCATTTTGGGGGGAATAAGCCCCATTAGCCCTGGCCTTCCACTGCCTATGTCCATAGCTATGACCAAACACAAGTGCATGGCTGCAGACAGAATAAAAAATGGCCAATCGGGTGAAAACCTGACCCCTCATTGCATGAGGTATCAGATAAAGACATTTCAGAATATAGTGTTCTTTGTAACAGGTATCTGCACTGCCTCCCAGCCTATTGCTGTTTTCAGAATGGGAGGGAGATGGGGAGTGGAGGGAGTTCAGTCTGGGGATTTTTCAGCCCCCCTCAGGGGGTGGAGCAGGTGTATTGGAGCTCCTTTAAAGGTGGAGTGGCTCCAATTCATTCACCCCACACTTCAGCACCAGTTAGGGAGCCTCAAGAATGAGCTCCCTCCGCTGCCTTTCCACCCTCTCATTCTAAAAATAGTGAGCACTGACAGAGAGCTGTGGCCATTGCTGTGGGAACCTGGATGCAGGCTCCCAGCCTGTAGCTAGATTCTCCTCCTCCCTGAAACCAACAGTGTGCTTCTGTTTGGTCTGGGATGACATTGCAACTCAGAATGCTTTGCAGAAATCGTTCTGGGTTACAGCTGGGAGCTATACTTCTGCCTGCACCCAGGGAGCTAAAACACAAAAAGAAAGCTTCCAATAAGTGGAAACTTGGACAAATGACTAGAGAGGAGTACAGGAGTATTGCTCAGCCATGCAGGGATGAAATCAGGAAAGCTAAAGAACAGTTGGAGTTGCACCTAGCAAGGGATACAAAGGGTAACAAGAAGGGTTTCTACAAGTATGTCAGGAACAAGAGACAGATCAGGAAAAGTGTGAGTCCTTTACCAAATGTTGGAGTCAACCTAATGACACACGATGCAGAAAAGGCTGAAGTATTCAATACCTTTTTCACCTCAGCATTCACAGGCAAGGTAAGCTCCCTGACCACTGCACTTAGCAGCACAGTTTGGGAAGGAAGTAAGCAGCCAACAGTGGCAAAAGAACAGGTTCAGGACTATTTAGAAAAGCTGGACATGTACAAGCTCATGGGGCCAGATGTGATGCACCTAAAAGTGCTTAGGGAGTTGGCCAATGTGATTATAGAGCCACTGGCCATTATGTTTGAAAACTTGTGGCAACAGGTGAGGCCCCAGATGATTGGAAAAGGACAAATATAGTGCCCATCTTTAAGACAGGGAAGAAAGAGGATCCAGGGAACTACAGACTAGTCAGCCTCACCTACGTTCCTAGAAAATCATGGAGCAGGTACTCAAGGAATCCATTTCTAAGCACTTGGAGGAGAAGGTGATTAGAAACAGTCATCATGGATTTGACTTTAGCAAGGCTTTTTATATGGTCTCCCACAATATTCTCACAAGCAAGCTAAGCAAGCTTGGGTTGGATGAATGGACTGTAAGGTGGATAGGAAGCTGGCTGGATCATCAGGATCAATGAGTATCTATCAATGGCTCAATGTCTAGTTGGCAGCCAGAATCAAGTGGACTGCTTGAGCAGTCAGTCCTGGGGCAGGTTTTGTTCAGTATCTTCATCAATGGGTAGGAAAATGGAATGAAGTGCACCCTCAGCAAGTTTGCAGATGAAACCCAGCTGAGAGGAGTAGTAGATACGCTGGAGGGTAGGACTAGAAATCAGAGAGACTTTGACACATTGGAGGATTGGACCCAAATAAATCTCTTGAGGTTTAATAAGAATAAGTGCAAAGTTTTGCACTTAGGATGGAACAATCCCATGCACTGGCACTGGAAGTCTGGGACCTAACTGGGTACGCAACAGCTGTGCAGAAAAGGACCTGGGGGTTACAGTGGACAATAAGATGAATATAAGCCAACAATGTGCCCCTGTTACCAAGAAGGCTACTGGCATACTGAGCTGCATTGTAAGAGCATTGCCAGCTGAATGAGGGAAGTGATTCTTCCCCTCTATTCCGGACTGGTGAGGTCACATCTAGAGTATTATGTCCAGTTTTGGGCCCCCACTACAGAAAGGATATGGACAAATTGAAGAGACGCAATCGGAGGGCAACAAAAACAGTTAGGGGGCTGGTGCACATGAATTCTGAGGAGAGGCTGAGGGAACTGGGCTTATTTAGTCTGGAGAAAAGAAGACGGGGGGGGGGGTGCGAGAAAGAAAGACGGGGGGGGGGGGGGGGCAGGATTTAATAGCAGCCTTCAACTACCTGAAAGGTCGTTCCAAAGAGGATGGAGCTAAATGTTTCTCAGTGATGGCAGGTGACAGAACAAGGATCAATGATCTTAAATTGCCGCAAGGGAAGTTGAGGTTAAATACTACAAACATCTTTCTCACCAGGAGGATCTAAAGTATTGGAACAGGTTACTCCAAGTCAGGGAACATTGTGGAGGCTGTGAAATCTCAATGGAGATTCCACAACCTCCTTGAAGGTATAAATGCCTAGCTAGACAAAGCTTTGGCTGGGATGAGATAGTTAGGGATGGTCCTGCTTTGAGCAGGGGTTTGGACTAGATGACCTTCTGAGGTCCCTTCAAACCCTGATTTTCTATGATTTTAACAGCATTCACAAGAGTGCCAGGATAACTGGTAGATCACTGGATGATGGAAAAAATGCAGGAGATGAGGCATGCCTTTGAGGTAGATCCTGAGAATTCCCATTCACTCCCCAATGCCATTTTACTCCCAAGAATAGTTTTGACTCTGTGTTTTTGTGCTGTGAGAGAATGGAGAAAATGGTTAAATCCAACTGAAGGAAAAGAAAAAAAACAAGTCTACATTCTATTAGAAGCTAATTTATCTTTCTTGATTGGGCAAAGTGACTGGATTATAAAGGTCTATACTGTATTCTTCTAAAGTCTACTTCCCATACCTCCCCTCTCAAAGAGCCATATAGAAGTGACAGTCAACTTGCAGAGTTGAAGCGTAACCTACCCTATAGTCCTCACTTTTGTACTCGCATGTCATTTTTAATGAATGCAATAATAGTACCAAGTCAGAATTTTTTCCAGTGCAGTTTTTCCTCCATGTTTTTAGTGCATTTTATTCTTTGGGTGCTCTCCTTAGTTATTTGATTCTGCTTTCAAAGAATAGCAAAAACAAGTCAGTGTCCTTGTCTGTAATTATTAACTTGTATTTAGGGAAAAATATTTTTCCTCAAATTAAACCAGAAAATGTGGGATAAACTTATATGCAGGGTTGAACAAATTGAATAATTGAAACAATACAGTATTCTACAGTGAATCATTGTGCAATTACATATTTTAGTCCTTGATGGATCTAGGTTTTTTAAAAGGGGGATGAAGATGATGGGGTACATAATCACATAAAATACAACATACAATTGTCTCCAGGTAAAAAATACTAGAAACTTGACTACCATGCTAGGGGCCTAGGGCTATATTACTCAGTTTAAGATCACAGAAAAAAACAAATATAAATTGCTTGGAATCAGGGGTGATACGTAGGGGGTGCACATAGGTGCACATGCACCCCCTGAATGTGGCACTGCACCCCCTACAAAAAGGGGGTAACTGCTCAGTTCATGATCCCCGCTGGCTACTGCCCACAGTGTTAGCGGCGTCTGTGTGTGGTCGCCAACCCCTGATCGGTGCTCATAGCGGCGTCTGTGTGTGGTCGCCAACCCCTGCTGGGTGCTCCCCGCCCCTCCACTCCCACCGCCAACAGCACCAGTAGTGTCTGCGGGAGCTCCCCTGCTTACCGCCACCACGCTGCTGCCACACTCCTGCCATTGCAGTCCCCCCCCCCCCCCCCCCCGCCCCAGCCACTGGGGGTACACATCGTTCATAATTGGAATAGGTATTAATTCGTTATATGGTAAGTTTGTATTAAAAAAAAGAACAAACTAGGCAAAAATAATCAAAAACATTTTTTCATTAGTGCTGCAGCCATCATAATTAAATGCACATCTCTTTCTGATTTTTAAAACAAATTCAAGCCTTCTTGAGCATCTTGATGGTGCATCCAATGCTTTGCTGAAAATTATTCCCACACTTGAGTTAATGTTCTCCTGAGATCATGTTTCTACACCTGAATTTATGTTTTTGCTAGAGTTAAAACAGTCGGAAGGGGTGTGGAGCAGGAGCTACATTATTAGGAGGAACTAAGAGCAGAACTGGAGCATAAAGAATAACTTGATTAGTGGAACATTAATACCATAAAAAAGGAGAGAGGGTTGTTAACACCTGTGGAATGAAGAGTTTAGAAGAAATCAGGTAGGTTATAATGAGCCATGAGGTCAAGTCACTCCATCACTTCTGCCTGAATAGTAATTCTGCTGCCACAGCCAGACAGTGGGCACAAGACATTTACTGTACAGCTTCCTAATTAACTCTATGGTAAAGTCTCAGTGTCTACACTAGCACCCCTATTAGGCAGCAGTAAACTAATTAACTCCACTGTAGGTTCATAATTGTAAACACAGGGCATTTGTACACATGCTTGCACCACAGTTGTATAGGCAGCAAAATGCATGTTAGCACTGAGAAAATGGTGGAGGTGCAATTTTGAAATAAAACGCATCGGAGGTGTTTTAGTTCAAAGGCACACCACCCCCATTTTCTCAGCGCTGATGCATATTTTTCCACTTATACAACTGTACATGATGCAGTGCAGTGCCCATCAGCTTGTGTGCAGTGCAAACTCAGTTAATCGCATCTACTCCAACTTTCTGGATCTCTGGCGCATTGTGGGATGAAAAGGTATGTGTATAAATGCCCACAAGTACTATCCTACAGCAGCATCGTTTAGTGGGCAGCAATACACATGTAGACACTGATGGGGCTGGCTGGGGCATGAAGTGTTTCAGTGCAGTGGCTGCCTCCCGGCTGTCCTCCTGAGCCTCTTGCCAGCCAGGGATATTCTGACCTGGATCAACGTGCTGTGGTCCTGGGTGTACATGTAAACATGGTACCCAGGAGCAATAAACTCCAGTGCAATGTGCACCAGAGTTGATTGTGTTGCATTAATTCAATTTGTAGAGGCACCCAATTTGTTTTAAACTTTGGGAGGACCAACAGTCAAAAGTGGAGTGGAACTGCACCACTCCCTAGATCTGCCCCTGTTTCAGTCTTAAAATGAAGGACATTAAAAAAAAAAAGACGTTTTTATATTTTTGAGTGTGAAGAAGATAAAGTCATAATGATATGCTTCTGATGGAATTGACATTTAAAATATTCATATATTACATGAACAACTGTTTTTTTTTAAACAATCTTTTTACATGAGCAATCTTTTTCTCAAGTGAGCCCAACTAATTTACCAGAGAGAAAACTCACTAGCAATTTTCACTGAAGGATTTCCACTATCATCTACAGATAACATTATGACAGCAAGTATTTCTTCTACTGTTTTTCTTCCTTTTCTCTCTTGGCTTTTGAGACAGAGGGGCTTTTATTGTGAAGAGCTAGTTTTACTTACAGTCCCTATTTGTTCTAGGGTTTGTCAATGTACATCTATTATCAATTAATATTCTATTGAGATCAAACATAAGGTAACAAACCCATTTTCAGTTTTTCATAGCAGTAATACTGACATCATATAAAATATCTAATTTAAAGGAGATGCTTAAACAGTAAGGACCTGGTTCATATATAGCTGAAGCATACACTCAGGAGTTTTTGATGGAAGTGATCAACTTTAAATTTCTTATTGTCTTAGGTTAATCTGTACGTAATGTCCATGGATTACATAATCCCTTATTATGTGCACAAAAACCCACTATATCAGTATGATTTGCATATGCTACATGGCTATTATTCCACAAATAGCCCAACAGTATTTGGCTCCATAACGCTATTATCACAATTTACTCCCCCACCCTTTTTTTAAAGCCAAACAGACGATGCAAGCAAGTGAATCAAAAATGCTATATTAAATCAAACCCTTCTTATGTTCAAAAAAATTTGCTATTTAAATGAGGTAC